GGCGGCAACGATCGCTGAGCCCGCTCATTGCCAGGAGGGGGGCACCAGATCAGCATCGCGAATTGTACCGTTCAGAACACGATCGGCACTTACAAAATGCGGAACGCCTCGAGCCCCGCTGTCAGCACTCGCGACGTCGGGAACGCCTCGAGCCCCACTCTCAGCACTCATAACGTGTGGAACGCCTCGATCACTACCGGCACTCACTGGTCCGTGAACGCCTCGAGCCACTCCTGGAAACCGCGCTCCACGCGGGTGGGCGGCGCGCGGCCCCGCTTCAGCTCCGCTACCGCCTGCGCAGAGCAGTCGGGGGCGACCTGTCGGATCTCGGCCGAGGTGCAAGAGCACCTTCTTTCTGTTCTGGCCGTAGCACCTGTCCATCTTGCAAAACTGGAGTTTGTCGGCCATCTGCTCGACCAGTCCGCGCAACTTGGAAAGCTGCTTCGCGTCGGCGGCCCCCGCGCCGCGCCCCCCCCCTCCATTAGGCCCAGCGGGGGGCCGCAGAACACCCGCAGACGCGGAGGTCCCAAGATGCGGCCGCGACCCTGCGCCGCGACCGCGCCCGAGCACTTGCTGCCCATCTCGCTGATCTCGGTCGCTTCGCGGCCGTTCGAATCGACGGGGGCGCAGTCGAAAATGGCGCCTTCCGCGCTCCTCTTCGACTGGCCGGGCCGCGGCAAGAACTCGAGGGTCAGTTCCTGCAGCGCCTTCTGCGCCCCCTTGAAGCCGAGGTCTGTTTTCTCCTCGCCGTCGGCTCGCTGGCGGACGCGCCGCGCCTCGCCTGCGCCGCCTTCGCCGCCGCCCCCCCGCCTGGGGCGCCGAACGTCGCCGAGGGGTCTCTGCTCCTGAACTCGGCGCGACCGCGGGGCGTCTGGCGCCGGCGGGCGGAGAAAGGTCCGGGAATGAACTACCGCAGGCGAAGGGTGGGGAAGATGCTGCTGCGCGGCGCGCTCATTATCTTCGCCCATGGCTTCGAAGGCGTCGCCGCGATAGGTGCCGTTGATCGTCTCGGGGGCGTTCGCAGGCCACGGGGGTCGAGCGCGACCGGGGCGACATTTGAGACTACCCCACGACGGCCGCACATGTTGACGAGCACTATCTCGAGTCGCACCACGGACATTGATTGCGCATCACACGCGCGTGCTATGGGCGACGCTTGCAATGTTCACCTCCCCGAGACTGGAGCACGCGAGCTGCGAGGGCCCCGCGGGCGGGGAGGGCCCGGCATCAGAGGGCCCCGCACTCGTCTCTGAGCGCGCAAGCAAAGGGCGTGAGTTCATCTTCCAGCGGGGGGCGCGATCGCGCGAGCAGGTCCTCGCAGGTTTGATGAATGCGTCATTTGTTTCTCCGTTTGTTTCTTTTGTTTCTGTTATATACACATATATGCATGCGTGTATATATATATATATAATCGCCGTCCGTCGGGATCGCCGCCGCGAGGGTCGACGGGTCAGCCCGAAGCCGTGCTTCTCGCGCCTCGCCGTCATCAAACAAGGCAATGCAATAATAGTTCTGCGCGCTCCATCGCTCGAGAAACTCCTCGGCGCGCTGACCCCAGCGCGCGGCCGCAAATCGGTTTCTGCGCTGTGCGCGAGAGGAGGGGCCTCTCGAGCGAGGCGCCCATGAGGGTCCAGAGCGGGAGTTCTTCTGGGGGCAGCAACGACCCGGGCGTGGGACTCGGGGTCTCGGGCCATCTTCTTGACCCAGGCCAATCTTCTGGAGGCTCGAGCGCATCTAGCGGGGGCCGCCTCCCACCTGCGTCGAAGAACTGCGCGAGGACGGCAAAGGGGATGGCTTTCGCTCGAGTCCGTGGCCTGGCCCCTCTCCCGAGCTCTGATGTACTTAGCCGCGGTGGCGTCCATCTGGTTAATCATTTTTGCAGAGAAAGCGTTCGCCTCTCGTTCGCCGGTAAACCAACTTCGACTACGTGCCGCTGGAAAGCGAGAAGCTTCAGTTCACTAGATCTGCGACTACCCCAGAGACCCCCCGTTGTAGCCCAACCCGCCCGCATGGCCGAATCTCAGAACTGGAGGCCCTTCATCGTCGCTAAGTTCCATGCAGACCTACCGCCGAGATGCCGAGCCCGTGGTAAAGCCTTGCCCTCTTGCGGTAAGCTCCGTAAGCCCCTTGGTCTCCTGGGCGCGATGAAAACTGGGGCGGCCTCTCGCGCCCCCCCCCCCCCCCCCCCCCCCCCATGCCGGAGGAGGCCCACCTGGTGCAATTCCTCGCCCAGGGTCGCAACGCTCTGCTGAGTGCGAGGGTGGGCCTCTCCAGCCTCGCCACTTTGGACAAGGATTTGATCGACGCATGTCATCAGCGAAGACGCTCGCGCCGCCGTCTCTCTGGCGCGGGAAGATGCCGCACTGCGTGGCGGTAGACTGAGCAGCGGGGCGGGTCGAGCGTCAGGCGTGCAAAGGTCGTTGCGGCATTGCGTAGTCCTTGCGAAGATGATAGGTTCTTAGCCCGCTAGCCCTCCGCATCTAGGCGTCTGATAACTAGGTTCCGAGTATTCCTCCATGGCTCGCCCCCCCAGCAGCAAATCCCCGAAAGATGGCAGCGTGCCCCGCTCGCTGTTCAAGCAGAGCTTGGTCTCTAGGGGCGGCGAGGCCGCGAATCGCGCGGTGCCTCGCTGCGGGCGTAGTGGAGGCGAAAGCGTTAGACATGTCATGTTGATTATTGAAGAGCTAGATTTCGCTTCCGCAGTAGATGTCACACACAGGGCTGGACAACTATGGCGCCTTCTCTATGCCGAGCGGGGGGGGAGCCATGGAAACTAGCCCGTCAATCCTGAGGTCGCGAAGTCAGCCCGCGGCGGGTAGCGGCCCCATAGAAACCCCTTCCAGAAACGGCAGGATACGCGTATACGGCGAGTTCCACCAGGTCCGCGTTTCCGCTCGGCTTCAAGAGCGGGCACCCCCAGGAAGGATGGGCCAGCTTCGGAATTCGCTTCAAAACTTGAACCCACCAATGTAGTTTCCCCAGATGGGTATGCGCCAGAGAAGGGGGGAGCTCACCTACTCGTTCAGCGCCCAGTCCTAATCAGGATTCGTCTGCTCGTGAAACATAGCGGGGCTCTGCCGCCTTCGTAAAGACTTCCGCGGGAAAACTCCAAGCCGGGCCGGCTCGTCTTTCGGGGCGCCTTTTTTTCTGGGCCGCAGGGTACCTCGAAGATCTCGTTCGTTCCACGAAAACCTCTGGGCGATTCTCGAGTTCGGTCGCGCAGTCGACCCCCCGGGCACGCGCGCCCCCCTCGCGCGGTGAACCAGCAAGATATATCCCCCCACTCCTTCCGCGATGACTGGGGGGGGGGGGGGGCTCGGTACTTTCGCGTTCGCGCCCCCCCGCAGCGAGCTGCAAGCAGACAGAAGAAGCCGATGGACCTCAGCAACTCGGCAGAGTCGATGAGCCTCGTGAGTGTCTCGTTCGAGCCTACGGCGACGTTCAACGCGCTCACGTCGGACCCGTTGGCGGAGTGAGATGCGGACGTCCTGCAGCTCTTGGTACTCGGGGAAGAGTTGTCTTCTTCAGCACCTCCTCGCAGTCCTCGCCCTGCTCCCCCCCCCCCGCCGTGCCCGAGCCTCAGCTTGGAGTCGAACCAGTTCGCGTCGGCGTTCACGCGGGCGAACGGCCTGAGGATCCTCGGACTTGCTCGACTGGCCGAAGAAACGCGGTGCACAAGAACGCACCAGTTCCACCCACTTCTGCCAATATTTGTCGATGCCGCCACTGTCGCCAATCTGGGAGATCTCCGCGCGCTGAGTCAAGGCGTCCTCTAGGGCGTTCTGGAACTCCAGGCGCCTGGTGCCCTCTTAGAGCGGCGCTGCCAGCTTATCACGATCCAATCGAAATCTGTTGGGGGTATGGCTGCGATGCTGGTAGGCCGTGAACCCACCGATGATCGGGACATGGTCTCTCGGCGCTGCACTTGGAAAAAGCTGTGGGCGTCGCGCCGAGTTCCAGGAGATAAAGCAGCGTCGAATCTGATCGTGGATGGTCAAGGGCATGAGAATGTGACCCACTGTGCTCGTCGATCCGACGAAGTGGAAATAGGTCGGCCCTGCTCTAAGATAGAAGCTGCCCACATCCACGATCTCGCAAGGTAAAACCAACTCCTCAAAGATCTGATATCCGATGACGGTGTGGTTGCCGAGGTTGTGGCCGCCTATATTGTCGATCGGACCCCCGTTCTCGACCTCGACCTTCGGTGGAGACAACGCTGCGCCGTTCTTCAAGCCGAGGCCTGTGTTCACACGCCGCCCATCAAAATCGGAGTCGAACGCGCTAGAGCCGATTTCGCCTGCTGAGTCGCCCAAGAAACCAACTCTCTAGATCCTTGTTCTACTGCCCGCCGGTTGCGGGCGCAGTCGTCCTTGAGCGGGGGCAAGTAGACCAGCACAATCGTCAGATCCAAGGTGCCTCGAACTAGCCGAACTTCGAGTACTCGTCCTTGGGCCGACGGAGGTGGGGTCGAAATTGTATGAATCACCTCTGCGCAGCCTCTGCGTCATCATCAACATGCAACCTGCCGATCGGTTCGAGAACGGAACATCTGACCAGCCTGCCGACGAGCCATAGCATCCGCGCTCGAGCTGCCATTCCTGAACTGGATAACCTGGAGGTCCCAGAAGACGTGTGCCTGCCAAGCCGATTCTGTCTGCATGACTATATCGCCATATCTCCGAAGGGCGATCTACTTCCACCAGCGAAGCAGGATTGTATAGTGCCACCATGAGAAAAGAACCTATGGGCACACAAAGGGCGAGTGCGTCCCGGGACGTTCCCGCCTTGAGATCGTGAGCGGCGAAACCACAGGAAATGTATTATGGACGAGAGCGCGGTACAGTGCATGGATTCTGCATGGTGTGCGGTTTGTGCCAGGAGCAGCTGACGAGAAGGAAAAGGAGGAAGGATGAGGAGGAAGAAAAGCAGGAGGGGGAGGAGGGGAAGGCAGAGGAGGGAAGAGAAGGGGTCTAAAATTGGGGTTATCCTGGTCCTTTGGCCCCTGGCGCGGACGCAACAACATATGGCCACGCCGCACGTAAGCAACATCACGGAAAACATCGCGACCACGCTGATGAGGAACCACGCGGAGATCAGGGAGTCGGGGAGCTTGTCATCCGCCAAAGGGTCCTCGAGGAGAGGGAGGAGGAGGTTCCCCCAGACCCGGGCGACGCGTCAAAGCAGCGACGGCCAACTCTTTCTCGAAAACTGGCCCGTGCAGGCCGTTTCACTCTGCTCCGGGGCCGTCAATCGATGATCCTCAGACCGTGCGTTGGCGCCAACGTGTGCTGGTTCACCGAAGCCCTTGAATACGACACGAAGGTGGCGTAACGATGGCCGGCGCAGGCCGAATGGGGTAATCACACATTCGGCTAACACACGTCCTGAGGATCATCGAGCCAGCAGGGGCTCAGGAAGATTCTGATTGGAGGCTTTCCTCCCTCCTCCCTCACCCGTGCCGAAGTGGTCATTTTTGGAAGGGGTGTCGGAGGGGGCTGCGCAGGGCCCAAACACAGCTAGGAGGTAGCAAGAGAACAGGAGTAGGTGTAGGAGGGAAGGGAGATGAGTTGGGGGATATCGGCCCAATCTTTGGCCCCCCACCCCCGCAGCTGCCCCACGCAATAAACCCGGACAAGACTGGCCGCCTGAGGGATTGCATCGTGGGTAGTTGGCGTTTCGTGCAACGTGCTTGGTGGCGGCAGCGAAACCAAAACAACCTACCGACCGCGGGGCCTGCCCGAGTTCCCAACAAGCCCTAGAACCGCCGATCCTCAAAGACCCCGTCAGCCTGAGAGCCCCCCTCTCCTTTCCTTTCTTCCATTCCTTCCCTTTCCTTTCCTTCCCTTCCCTTCCCTTCCTCCTCCTGCTCTTTGTCCCCCCTTCTCCCACATCCTCACTATCCCCGTTTTCTTTCCCCCGCCCCCTCCTCTTCCCTTCCTCTGCTCCTCTTCTCCTCTTCTCCTCTTCTCCTCTTCTCCTCTTCTCCTCCTCCTCCTCCTCCTCCTCTTCCTCCTCCTCCTCCTCCTCCTCCTCCTCCTCCTCCTCCTCCTCATGATCCTCCTCCTCCTCCTCCTCCTCCTCCTCCTCCTCCTCCTCCTTTCCCTCTTTTTCATATTCCTCTTTCCTCCCCCCCCCGCACATGGCGGGGGCCCAGTGATCACATCGGGATACCTGGGGAGCCCCCGCCAGCGGAGCTGGCGGGCGTCTGGCGCCGCTTGCATCGGCGGGGTACAAACAGAGCCGGCGACCAGCCACAAACTGGCGGAGAGTGGCGGGGGGTTCGGGCGCCCAGGGTCCCGTGGGGGTCCCTCCCTGGGGTGGGGGGTGGGGCGCTGGATGGGGCGGGCTCGGGGTGCCCCCCCGGTGCCCCCCTGGCGCGGGGCCCCTGTGGCTCGTCCTACTTGGCGCCCCCCTCCCAGGGTCCCTTCAAGGGGCGGGCATGCGCGGGCCCCTTCGAGCTTGCGACGCCGCGAGCGCCGCCCTCGCAGGCGCACGCGCTGCGCACGCCACGGGCGGCGGCATCTGTGGCGGCAGCCGCCGCCTGTGCCGAGGGCGCGGCGCGGTGCGGGCGCCAGGATGCGAGCCTGAGGCGCGAAGACGCCCTTCGCTTGCTCGGAGAACGCGGCGGGCGCAGGGGGGCGGGTGCCCGTCCACTGTCGCGCGGAACCACTGGCCCCCAGGGCGGCGGTGCGCCGCATGGCGCATCCAGCGCGGCCCGCACTGCCCTGGACTCGCGCGGCCCTGGCCTGTCCTATTCGCAGGGGCTGCTGGGGCCCGCTGGGGGCTCTCGCGGCGCACGGCCCCCCTCATTTTCTGGCCGGTGTTGTTTCCCTGGGGCGTTTCAGTTCGGCCAGGAAGGTAAAAACTGAGCCGCCACCCCGCGGGCCGCGTAAAGGGCCCCTCGCATTCCGCGGAATCTGGAGTGACCTTTCCTGCATAGTGCTGGGTCGTTTTGCGTGTTGTTCCTCCTCCTCCACCTCCTCCTCCTCCTCCTCCGCTCCCTTCTCCTCCTCTTCTTCCTCCTCCTAGCAGAATCAAGATGATCCAGCTGTCCAGGCCGAAGATCCCACGCGCACGGGCGGGCGCAACACCTGGCGGGTGCGGGTGGGCGGCCGCGGACGAGGGATCGGAGCTCCTTAGAACGTTCATTGGGTTGACATCTTTTGGCCAGACCCAAGGCCTTCTCGGTGGAGAACTGACCGCGCAGGGAACAAGACATTACAGGCAAATTATGGGGTTCGACCCAAGAGACCTGGAGTTTGTGACCGAAATGCCCCGGCCACTCAAGGACGCGCAAGCTGCGCTGATTTAGCGCCTTGCACTCAAAATTGGTTTGGGCCGAGGCTCTCCTTAAACAGCAAGAACAACGCCACATGCCTCCGATCCAACAAGGGGCGCGTGGACATCTGGGACCACGGCTAACCCCCCTCGGGCCAACACTCCCCTTTTACTACGATCAGGATACAGTTTGGCTGGACTGGGCACTCTGCAAGTATGCGTGCTCTGGCAGCGCATGACAAGGCGCATTGACGCCAGGTGCTGCGAATTTCACGGCATGTGAGCGCAGCAGAACCACGAATGCGAGCGTAATGGTTCGCAGGCCAGTCTGCGTAACGGTTGCCTGATCTGTCCGATTGATCGAGGGTGCCCCGAGCTTCCGAGTCCTCCCTGGTGGTATTGACATGACGGGCGTCCATATATTCCCTGCCAAACCAACAACAATCTTCAATACTAAGAAGGCATGGAAGTCGGGTCGGCAACAGCCCCAGACAAAGTTTTGTAATGCGCAGCAGTGTCACTGGGGAAAATCTCCTCAGCACCCCCCGCGCAGGCGGCCCTCGGGGCCCAACTCGCAAGCCCAAAAATAAGCGCGCCCATGGTCTGAAAGGGCAGGTCGGAAAACAACGGCTATCTGGGTACGGGACTGCACCCTTCGAGAACTGGAAGGGCTGACAACGCTGGAGATCACGACCCATGCGCCGCAGGCCCCAATCTTCAGCAGGCCCAGGGGCGACGCAGCAGGGCTGCCAAGCCCTGGCGAAAAGGCGCCTCTGAGGTCTAGCTCTCTGGCGCCCTCCAGAAGCTCAGGCGGGCAGAACTCAGAGCGCGTCTGTTCTGTATGCGGGCGCTCCCAGATCCGATTGTTGGGGTGCATTGCTTCCGTGGTAGCGACAAGATGGGCTGGCGCTGTGCCCCCGAGCGCGGAGATTGGCGGCCGCGGGCGCGGCGCTTCCCATCGCTCGCTTGAGGCGCGCAGTCGCGGTGGAGGGCATCTGGCGCACTTCCTTAGAGCGGAAAAACTTGGCAGCTGCCTCCCGCCACAATCCTCGGGCTCGAAGCGCCGTCGCCGCATCGCCGTCGCGTCGGGTGGCCGCCCCGGGAACGAATGGCAGGGCCCTCGCGTCATTTTAGTCACATGAGAGGGCGAAATTACATTCAATTTCCACGTCCTTCAGGCCCCGAGTGACGGACGGGCTCTCGAAGGTCCATCCGCCTTCCCAGGCCCGAAGAATCGCGTCCGACAGGGGCCCCCTGCCGCGCTTTAACCGCTGCCGGCTGGGCGGGCGAAAAGCAGGCGCAGCAGCTCTAGCCATCAGGGAGAAACCTGTTCAACTGAGCAGGTGTGAAACAATATTGCCGGACTGGCTGCAGGCCCCCCCTCGGGGCCGTAGCCATCCACCATTCAGAATCGCGGCGTCCCAAAGTCGCCGCCGCCACCTCGAGCGGGCCCCTGCCGCGCGACAGACCCCGCGCCCGCTCCGAGTCAACGCCCCTCATTGTTACTCCACTCGGGGCAGCCGCGGCCAGCCGAAGTCGGCGGACTTGACCGGGGCTGAAGGCAGCGGTGTCACCTCCGTAGATGACAGCAGGCGTGCCATTCGCAGCCGCAAGCCCAGCGTTGATCCCATGCGGCCCTCTAGACTGTTGGAGACGCCGGCGCTGGCGGTCCATGTCCCCGCCGTCGCTGAGCGCGAGACTGATGGGCCCACGGGTGAGCTCGATGCTTCCCAGCAGCAGTAGCAGCGCAAACATTCACCGCTGAATTCTCTGCTGCGCCACCGAGCTCGCCGCCGGCAGCCGGGCCCGCCTTCGCGGCTCGGCTCGAAGAAGCAACCGCGCGCAGCTTATGCCCCGCAAGAGATTGTCCAAGCTGACGCGCAGGCTCGCGACCAATGACTCTGAGGCGAGAGGCGGGATCCTTAGCCAGCTAGACAAGATCCGCCCCCCGCACGCGGCGGGCAAGGTCGCCGACGCGCGAAGAGGCCACATCATTGTCAGACATCTCCGCAGCACATTCGCCCATAGTGGGGTGCAGGGCCAGCTGAGCTCCATGAGTGGCTGTGGTTGAGCCTGCGGCGATGCCCCGTCCAGGGGCCGAGTTCCTGCCATAAGCGCAGAATGGAAGGTACCTGGGCCACTCTTACAACGATGAATTGGAAAGCAAAAGGTTAGAAAGCGGGTAGTTGCTGTCCTTTGCGCTATTTACAAGCAGCCGGTAAGGGGCATGCTCGTAGAATTGCATTTAATCCGGCAGCGAACCCACGCAGTGGACCTCGCGGTTGTCAACAGTTTCGGCGCGCGCGACCTGGCGCCAGGCCGCGCCCGTAAGGCTGCGGCGCCGGGCACGCGAATGCGCGGCCGAACCTCCCACCCGAGCCCCCCAGTCCCGCAGCTCATACTTGCCGAGCTGGCCGCGGAGCCTAAACGTTAATGGGTTGTGCCCTCGGAGGCGCCTGCCTCTAGTGAGTTTGAAAGCGCGCAGGACCACTGGCCTCTTCAGTCGCAGCGGAGGCCAAGACCATGGTGCGAAAACATATTTGCAAACACTTAATGCGCGGGGTCAGAGAGGGGGGGGGGGGGGGGGGGGGGCGCTGCGGGTGCCGACCGTCGTCTGGCAAGCGTGGCGAGGAAAGCGTCGGCGAATGTCCCGCAAGCCGCTGGCTGCCGCAACCTTGCGAACTGGGACAGGCAGAAGCCGAACACCTGGGGGGGCTTCGTGACTTCTAGCCTGCCGAGCAACTGGCCACTTCAGTTTTAGCCTGCACCGTCGTGGCGAGAGACGTACGAGACAGGCCCTCGAGAGGCGGCCCCTTCTCCAAAATTTGGACAGGCTCAGGCGCCCCTGGAGTAAGGCTGCGCGCGCGTCGCGCACCCGTCTCCATGAGTTCTTTGGCGCCGCTGCGCCCGCTGGCGTCGCCTCGCCGAGGAGCGCGATGGCAAGAGGTGGCCACGCGTAAAAGGCGCAGAGGCCAGTCTGCACGGGGTGGCATTGCGCCCCATCTGAAGGGGCTTGCACTGAACAGACATCTAAACACAATGCTGGGCGAACAAAACACGAGCCCCGCAAAACGGGCCCCCGCTGGCCTCCAGCCGAAGCAACTGAACAGACAGGTTCGTGAGGTCAGCCAGCGATAGCCTCATTTACCCTTGAATGTATACACGTGCATACATACATACAGATTTACTGAGCTTGTAGATTGAAACTTCTGCGCCGCCCGCGCCATCGCTCTATGGGGCCCGAGCGGCGGTGGGATGCGGCGCGGAGCGCTCGCTCTTACGGAGCAGACTGCCACGCAAACGGACTACCTGCAGGCGCGTCGGGGCCTGCGCAGCCCGCGACATGGCAGACTTCCTGCCGTGCCTGCTGACTCTCGCGTAGCTCCCCGGCCAACGTGCGCTTGTCGCCCAGCCCTCCGATGCTGCCCAGGAAGATCTGAATGGGCCCCACAAGCTCATCGTACCGCGGCAGCAGGTTGGCTGGGCCCATGATCTCATCAGCGGGCGCACCCTGGCGCGGCTTGAGGGCGCCCACCATGTCTCGGCCAACTCCCGCGACGCGTGAGACAACGGGCAAATGAAGCGAGACTGGTATATCATGTAGGATCTTCACTGTACTTTACCCATCTAGATGTCGGTGGCTTCAGGAGGAGTCAATTGTGAAGGCATGGCAATCCAACGCGCGCGAAGGCGGTTCAGTGTCCGCATTGGTTGGTGATGCCTGCATACTTGCGCAGTGGGGAGGCCTCGCTGAGCTCCTCGGGTCTACGGTTTAGATAGCCGCCGATGGTGTGCGAGAACGCAACAGGCTGAACTTCCTGTCTCACAACTTGAACCAGCGCAACCAGGCTGAACTTCCTGTCTCACCAACTGAACCAGCTCTCCGCATCAGGCGCCCACGGGTCCAAGCAATGGTTCGCCGTGAACAGCCCGCCCCCCGAATATCTCCCAGTGGCCATGCGGACAGCAAGGCCGCCGCCCACCCTCCAACCAGCCCCTCGCATCTCCCCAGCGATAGCAGGGCAGCGCGCAGGTGCCACGCGGTGTTCTTGCACAAACGCGGCACCCGCGTGAGCAAGCAAGTCCAGGAGGGCCCCCGCCCCACCCCAATTCGCACCGTTCAAAATGATGGCTTGTAGCCCATGACGCTTCGTGGGCGTCTTTCCATATACTGGATCCTGCTTCTTGCAAGTGGCCTTCGTGGAAAATGTGACCGGCGTGCGTTCTGACTGGGCCGGCGCGCCCCATAGCTGCTCGAGGGGCGCGGCCATGGGAATCCTGGGCGTCGACGCCCGCGCGGCGCGCGCGCCCTGGTGACTGCGGCGGCTTCCCCAGGTCTGCTCGAAGAGCACAGGCCTGGGAAACCTGCCCTTTCCCATGGCAAAGGTTTTCGCGTTCTGACTTGCGCCCCGACGCCCGCGGCGACAGCCCCGAAGCTGCTCGAGGAGCACAACTCGAGGGATCCTGGCCTTCTCCTGAGCCGCGTCGGCGAACGGGAAACCATCGCAACAATCGTCGTCGTGCAAGTGCTCAAACGGGTCAAAACTATCGTCGGCCATGCCCCTGCAACCTGAGATCCTACCACTGGCTGCGCGCCCGCCTGCTGGTCTGGGCCCAATTGAAGTAGGCATCTCAACAGATGCCGACGCAGCGCTTGGCCCTACGAAAGTACAATGCGTCCTGGGCCTGGCCCTAGTAGCAGCCGTCGATGTCGGGCGGGTTCAGCGCGCGGGGGGCGCGTTGTAACATCCCGGGGCTGAATCCCAGCGCACGCTGCCCAAAGCCGAGATCGATTCTGAGTGTCGTTGGCGATGCTGAAGTACGCGAAGGCATTCAGGAGCGCGACCCCGCAGCACATGAACAAAAACAAGTGGATCGCCTGAGGGGCACCTGACTGAGGCGCCGTCGGATCGATTTCCGCTGCCTTGCAGCGTAGTTACTTGCTCCCGTTGTTGGTCGGTGCTGGCGCCAGGGGCTTGGAAGGACCATCTGCCGCAGCAGGTACATATTCGCCACTGACTTAGCCCCTCTCCCTTTTTACCTGTCAGCCAAGTTTTCTGTCCCGAATGTTCTTTCTTGAGTTCCCCAACCTGTTGCTGAATGCTGCCATGCGTCGGCTTGGTCGCCTCACTTGACGAATCTTGCAACGATTGAACCCTCCTCTGAACTTCCGCCTCTCAAAACGCAACCCAACCGAACCATCAATGATCGAAGACATGCTGGTTTTGCTGGAGCCTTACGCGGTCGGTGTAGTCCCCACCACCCCCGAATGTCACTCTTCCGCCGACTCGCGGTCTAGCTCCTGCTGCTGATCCATCTGCCTGATAGCTTCATAGAAATGTATAGCCTGTTGGCACGGCCACTCTTGCGTCCGCTCATAACTGCCAACCAGTTTGCCCAGGTGGGATTGTAACTGAGTGAGCTGGTGGTACGCCCCGTTCGCACGCTTCTGAGCAGGGGCCAGCGGCTGAGGGACCGAACGCTGAAACGTGGCGCGGTAACTGCCGGTTGCCGTTTTTTTCCAGATAAAATAATGAGCTGCTGGATGTCGGCATCAGAGATTTCACTGGTACCATGCTGGTCCTAGACAGGGGACGGCTGCGGTTGACTGCCAGACACTCCACTCCCATCATGTGAAGTTTGTTTGGGAGGCCCTTTGGGGAGACACTCGGCTTCATGTCGGTCCGCTGGGGAAGCGTCACGCCAAGACTTCCAACAATGTTTACACCAACTCCAATGCCGCAAATTGCATGAGCACCCGCAGGACCCACACTGCCACGCCCCACGGAGCTTGCCAGCAGCAGCCGCAATGGCAAAATGGCACGGCGAAGCGCTGATGCGGTTTTGTTCGTGAATGTGCGGCCTGAAGCGCGCCAAAACCCCTCGTGTAGCCAGGCAGAGAAGGGCACTGATGGGGGCCGCTGCTCCCCTTGCCAGTGAGGCCAGTTCCCCAGCCGAAGCGCTACGGTGTTGAGCCAAAATGTTGACTGCCTCCTCCTCCTCCTCCTCCTCCTCCTCTGCCTCCTCCTTCTTCTCCTCCTCCTCCTCCTCCTCCTCGTCCTCCTCCTCCTCCTCCTCCTTCTTCCCCTCCTGCTCGACATGCGCAGCCCTTGCCCAGACACGCGCGCGCACGCAAACGCGGGAGGAGATAGGATCATATTGGAACAGCCATGGCAACGCCACCGCGACGACGCTCCGTGCGAGAAAGTAGCCACGGCGCGGTGCCAACCCATCCACCTCTCAGACTCCACACATCAAACAAATCAGACCTTTAGGGGCAGGAGGCCACTCGAAGACCCACAGGGAGTACGTCGGGCGGCCCCTCCTTGTGACCCTCACGGTCGCCGAAGAGCTAGGTACCAAGTCTTATGGACACGCCCAGTGCCGCTGTGTGAAGGAGGAGGAGGCGAAAAAGGAGGAATTCGCGCCCCACCTCCCCTGGCTGCACACAAGAGTGATCCGAGGCAAGAATGGCCTTTGGTGCGTGGCTTTCGGGGGCCCCGGGGACGGGCCTAAATCCAAGCGTCCCGGCCAGTGCGGGGTGGACGTGGACGGGCGGGCCCGCTACAAAGGCCACCCAGGCGAAGGGCAACTCTCACGCGTAACCAACTCCCTGCGGGAGCCGCCTCGAGGATGCGCCAATGACACGCACTCGTCGACGACCGGGCGAGGTCGTGGCGGGGGTCGTCCGCCTCCGCCGCGTCCCTCCTCCGACCTCCCCCTCGCTCCCCGCCCCCCCCCCCCTCTCGCAGCCCCTCGTCGTCTCGAGAAAGGTGGAGGGCCCTTTTGACCTTCGATGCTCGGGGCGCACGGGGTAAAGGAGAGGCGAAATGGCCAGCATCTGTCTTTCAGTGTCTGTTCCGAGCGCTGCCGATGCCCACTCGGCTCGTACAGGAGATGCGGGGAGGAAGAGGGAGGAGGGGAGAGGAAAGAAGAGAAAGCGAGGAGGAGAATTGCCAGAATGATTACAGGATGCGTCGACGATGCTGCCATACACACTCCCGTCGCAAATCCACAACTCGCAGGTCCCTGCACTCCGTTTCACTGCGTGGGGCCCCACTCGAAAGGCGAGCGCCTAATGGGCCTACCACTCAGGCGCGGGGCCCCGTTTTGAAAAAGAGCTGCCATGCATCCTCATCTTGAAACGAAATCGCCCTCCATCCATGTAATGTTTGGCGATGGTAATTGGTTTGCGGATGTCTAAAGCGAAAACCCCATGTTTGAAAAATAACCGCTCTCCATCGATACAACTGTTCTGCAATTAACACATGTGGCCATAACCCTGGCAATCTCCCATGCCGGTTCATAATCGCCCTCCATCCGTGTAGTTGCTGAATAGTTTTATAATGATAAGTGCGCGTGGCCGTAAAAATGGGAACCACATTCCGAAAACAGCCAACCGCTCATACGTGCAACTGCTGGAGACTCTGAGATATAATCATATAGAACGGTTAGGCAATCTCACGCGACGCATAACTCCCGCTCTTCCGACAAGCCTGGTGGTGCGAGGGAAAGCTTCAAACAAGGAATAATCGAGGAGGAGGAGAAGGGCAAGAAGGAGGAAGATGTGGTGGTGGATGACGATGAGGAGGCTCAGGAGGAGGGATGAGGAGGTATGATCGATGATAGGGAGAGGGGAGACCGAAGAGGGTGATGGAGAAGGGATGGTGGAAGGGGAAGCGGGAGAAGGCAGGAGGACCAGTCGGGGGAGGCATTCCCTTCTCTGTGACTCCTCCTCTTTCAGCTTCTCGTACAGACCTCCCTCCTCCCCGCTTCTCCCGCCCTCTCTTTCGGTTCGGCAAACATCAGCGACGAAGCTGCTGCGTTTTCTCTGCACAAGAAATGTATCATTCCTCTTCGCACTCCCCGCGCCGCTTGGTCTGCACTCAGGCGACGCTGCTCGTTACACGACACGATTTCATCGTACGCTTCCCCCTTCCCCCTCCCTCTCATCCTCCTTCTCCTGTTCCTCCTCTGCCTCCAACTACCCCTCCTCATCCTCCTCCTCCTCTTGGACCACCTCCTCTTTCTTTCTCGCCCATCACCCCCCTCTTCCCTCTCATCCACCTCTGTTTCCTCCGTGTCCCAATGAAACGAGTTCCCTTCTGCAGAACCCGACTACCTACCTAGGAGCCTGCCTGAGACAGGAGTGCCAAGTCTCGGGGACAACCGAGAGTGCACGGGCCGAGGCGGGAGGCTCTAGGCAGCTCTCTGGGCGCGTCGAGCGGGCCTCGTGCGGGTAAGGGGGGAAAGGTAGACCCCGGAAAACCCCCGACTGGGGTTCGCGCCCCGCCCGAAGACGGCAGAGGACCGCCGGAGCAAATCGAGCCGCAATCCTCTTCACGCCTGGCGGGAGGGACGCACCCCTGCGCCAGCAGGTGAGTCTGCCTTCGCCCGTAGGCCCCACATGCAACACAGAAGACAATCGCGTCACAGATCCCAGAGACCACATCCGGCCCAGCCAGCTCCCGACCCACATTGGACCGCCCCCAAACGACCCAGGGCCTATGGGACTGGTGAGCGCCCGACGCGATCGTTGGGATCCCTGGGCAGGGGGTGGCCACGACACGAGCCCCCGATGCCTTCCGAACCCCGCAGACACCACAGCCCCAGGCTCGACCAAGCCTGACCAGCGCGAAAGACCCCATCGGAGCCCACGAGGATCAAACCGTCTTTGGATGAGCCTTGGGGACGGGCCAGAGGGGCACGGTCGGGCCAGCCCTCCCCCGCCACCCTCTTGAGGACCGCGCCGTGGTGCCCCATGAGAGCGAGAGCAGCGCCTGTCGCTGCGACCGCTCGCGCCTCGAGCTCGGCGAGGCCGCGCTGCGAGCGCAGGCGGGCTTCGAACTTGGCCGTGGCATCAGCTTCTTTGTTGCCGATGTCCCGGACCGGTGCGGGCTCGGGTCCAGCTCAACGAAACATTGGCCTCACCGAAGTCCTTGACGCGGTTCCAGGCCTTGCCCCGCAACTCGGCGCACTCGGATGACGCCGACCAGCACCACGCTCGGCCGCGAGCGAAGTCCGAGACCAGGCCGAGGCAGTCCGACACGACGCCCAACCTGGCCACCTCCTTCTCCTCCAACACGCGCGGGATGGCCCAGAGCTCGGCGAACCCGCTCTCTTGGAATGGCCCGGGCACGCAGACGCACATGCCGCCGCGCATGGCGCCGTCGTCCGAGACCATGGTGGCTGCCCACCCGCGCCGGGCAATGGCGGACGACTCTGGGCAGACGGCCGAGCCATCGACGCGCGCGATGCCGCTGCAGCCCTCGCGCAGCGCCGCGCCTGCCCGCGAGCAGATCTCGGCGGCGCTCGGGGCGGGGGCCTCGTCAAAACCCAAGCAGACCAGCCCGCGGAGGACGCCGAGGTCGTCGGGCGGCGCCGCGGCCCCAAACCGCCGCGCGCGCGTACCCCATGTCCCGCGCCACCTGGGCGGTGGCGGCGCAGGCGAAGAGGCGGTGGCCCTCGGCGCCAGCGGCGCAACGGGCCCAGCTGCTGGCGCTCCGCGCGCAGGTCGACCTGGGTCGTGGGCCCGCCTGCGATCAGCGACTCCAGGAGGTCCGCCTCCTCGCGCCGACCCCGCCCTTTCGTGGCAGCGAGCGCGTGGCGGATCGGCCCCGCGTCGGGCGCACGACCTCGGGCGCCTCAAAACCCGGGTGGAGGGGCGCAGTCCGCATCGGCGCGCGGCGCGTCCCATTTTCAACGAGGAGGCTCACCGCGCGTGGTCCTTGGGCCTGCCGGTTTGCATCCTGGCCCGCGTCTGTCCGCCAGGCGTGACGCGCCACAGCCTCCCCGCCGACGTGCGCGAGCGCGAGCTTCGCCGCGCCCGTGGGCCCCGCGACGTAGCCCCGCGTCGCGGGCTCGCTGTCCTGGAAGACCGCGCCGAAGCTGGCGGCGCCGAGGAAGACGGCCCGCGCCCGCGCCACGAATGGCAGGCTGTTGGCGGCGACCGCTGGGTCCTGGCGCCAGCTGCTGCCCTCGCCGAGGGCGAATTGCACCGCCCGCCCGCCTCGCCGCGCACAGCCCTGGCGCTGACGGCGCGCGCTTTGGCAGCGCCGCGGTTGGCGCTTCGGGCGAGCGGACCCTATCAAGCGGGTCGGGCCAGGCGGACCCGAACGGGCGGGTCGGGTCGAGCGCGCGGGACATGAAAGTCTAATGCGCGCATTGAATTGCCACGCGAAAGCCCTGACGGGCGGGTCGGGTCGGTCGGGCGGACCCTGGCGGGCGGGTCGGGTCGGGTCGGGTCGGGCGGACCCTGACGGGCGGATCGGGTCAGGCGGACGGGATATTGACATAGAATGCCTGCGTTAAATTGACGCGCGAGAACCCGAACGGTTCGGGTCGGGTCGGGCGGGCGAACCCTAATGGGCGGGCAGGTCGGGTCTGGGGGGCGGACCCTAACGGCCGGTTCGGGTCGGTCGGGCGGGGCATGAACATGCCCACCGCCCCCACCGCCCCCACCGCCGTCCCCACATTTCCCACCGCCGTCACCACCGACCCCACTGTCCCCAACACCGCCCCAATCACCACACCCATCGCCGTCGTCTTCACCGACGCGGTCGTCGTTGTCGGCGTCGTCGTCGTCGTCGTCGCCGCCGCCGCCGTCGTCGGCGGCGCTGGCGCCCCCTTGTCCCCACCGCCGTCACCACCGTCCCCGTTGTCTCCACCGCCGTCCCCACCACCACCTCGATCGCCGTCGTCGTCTTCGTCGTCGCAGTCGTCGTCGTCGTCGTCGTCGGCGGCGGCGGCGGCGGCGGCGGCGGAAGCGGCGGCGGCGGCGTCGTCGTCGTCGGCGCTGGCGCCCCACCACCCCCACCGTCCCCAGTGTCCCCACTGTCCCCACCATCGTCACCACCGTCCCCAGCGCCGTCACCACCGCCCCCCCGGCGCCAGCGCGGGGGGGGAGGAAAGAATCCTGCATCCCTGCCATTTGTTTTCGAGGGGGGGAACGGCTGAGACGACCTCGCCATGCACTCACAAACGAAACTCCCGCTCGAGAGTACCCCTAAGCGGAAGGTTTGATGATTCCAGAGTTGGGGGCAGGTGACACACAGGCAAATGCGGATGAAGACGATGCGGATGTGATGGATGATGGTGAGGCAGGAATGCGGTGATAATGAAAGTGCGTGAGTAGCCCCACCAGCCCTTCAAGGCTTGAGTGGTTTAGCTCGCTCCCTCTTCCTTCGAACACCCTTCTTCCCCTTCGGGGAGGGGATTACCCATCCCCCTCCCCCCTCCCCTGGGCCTGGAAGTGTGGTTCGCGGGTCGTTGGAGCGCTCAAGATAGCCCAAGATGGCTCCAATAAGGCCTCAGAGAGCCCAAGATGGCCTCCAATATCGCTCAAGGTAGCCCAACATGGCTCAAGATAACTCCCAAAATGCCTCCAAGAGGCTCCAAGACCGCCCCACGACGGCTTCAAGTGGCAGAGGGGCATCCCAAGGAGGCCCCCGAGAGGCCAGAATCATTCGCAAACCTGAGGAACATCTATTTTCTTGGCATTCTTCCCCTTTCGCTTCCGATGGGCTTCTGAGGCTTCAAGAGGCTCCAAGATGGCCCAAGAAATCCCCAAGAGCGGCCTATGAGGGGCCCAAGAAGAGGCCAAGAGCGCCCAAGAGCGCCCCAAGAGGCTCACTCTAGGGCCCCGTAGGGGGGACCGACAAAAAGAACCCTCCCTTCTTTGATCGATGGCCTCCAAGGAGGCTTCAGGGGGGCCTCCAAGGCCGCCAACAGGGCCCCAAGACAGCCCCAAGAGGGCCCAAAAGGTTTCCAACATGTCCCCAGGAGGGTCCTACGATGGCCCCAAGAGCCCTACAAAACGCTCCCAGAGCGAACGATTGCAAAAATCTTGAGATTGACTCCTGTCGTCGTCGTCTTGGCTTTCTCCTCCTTCTTCTTCGTCTTCTTCTGTGTCGTCATTCCCTTCGTCCTCCCGTACTCAAGCAGGGAAAGAAAACCGACAACTCCCGATGACCAGTACACGTCACAAAGGTTGCTGTTTTGTGATGGGCTGGTGAGGATTCGCGAAACACTTGAATGAATTATGGGTCGTGTGCATGGTGGATGTGTGACAAGTGATGACGATATTGGTGATGTGTGTGGTGACGGGCATGATGATGAAGACGGCCATGATTGTCAACAGGGTGATGGGAAACATTATGTTTTGTGTACGGAATAAAATGAGTGATCGAGGGTAGGGGGTGAGTGCCCAGAGATGAAGATGAGCATGTGCAGGGCAACGGTAATGGAGATCATAATGATGAAAGTAGTAGCGGTGATGAAGATGATACGAGGCCAGCTGGCGGTGAGGAAGATTGAGTGGGGGTGATTGAATGAATGATGGGTCGTTTGGTGAATATGTGAGTGGTGATCACGAGGGTGCGAATGTGGATGGTGAGGGTGGTGGTGATGAAAGTGGTCATGGTGGTGAAGAGGATGATGAGGAGAATGGTGTTGTGCGTCCGAACGTCGGTGGGGATGGACCACGCTCGAGTTGAACTTCGCCTGGATGGAACTTCGATCAGGTGTACGGCGGGTGGAATTAAAATTCGCTCGCGTGTGCAATCGACGGAGCTTACATTCGCTATTCGTTTGGGCATTCGCTCGGAAATGGATTCGCTAGGGTTTAGATTGCTCGAGCTTGAAATCGTTCGAATTTGAATTCGCTCAGGCTCAAATTCGCTCAGGCTTACATTGGCTCGGGTTTAAACTCGCTCAGGACTACATTCGCTCGATTTAACATTCGTTCGGTTTGTAATTCGCTGGGATAAATATTCGCTCGGTTGCAACGCGCTCGAACGGACATGCGCGCGTGGGAGAATCCGCTCAATAACAGCTACGCAACCAGAATGAACACCAGGAAAGACGAAACCCGGCAAAACGAAACCGAGCGCAAAACAATCCGAGCGAGAAAAAAACGAACGAAACGAAACCAAGCGAAAAACAAGTCGAGTGAACAAGAACGCGAGGGAACAAGAACGAGCGAACACAAATTCGAGCGAAAAACAATTCGAGCGAAACAAAACCGACCGATAAAGAACCAGCGAAACAAAACGCCACCGACCCAGGCCCCCCCGCAGCGTGTAGGTTTATGTATAGCCAGGCGTTCCATATCTAAGGATGCTTGTTCTGCCTTTTGCTCCTAGCAAGAAACACTCACTCATTCTGAGCATCTCTCCTCATCCCCCCTTTCCCCCTGCGTTTCCTCCTCCCAGCTCTTCTTGCTTCCTTTTCTTTCTCCTCCTCCTCCTCCTCCTCCTCCCTCTCCTCCTCCTTCTCCCTCTCCTCCTCCTCCTCCTCCTCCTCCTCCTCCTCCTCCTCCTCCTCCTCCTCCTCCTCCCCCTCCGATCCCGCCTCTGGCATCTCCCTCCGCCCACACCAGTCCATCCCCCTTCACTACCCCAGCCCACCTTCCTCCTCCGCTGGGGCTGAAAAATCCCATCCTTCAGAGGTGTGAGTCTCGTCTCTCGAAGATCGGCCCCTGGACATCTCCGGGGATGCGCTCCGGCAAGAGTTTCGAGGCGGATTTAGCTGTGGCGAGGGCGCCCCCAGAGGCCCCCCAAAGCGCCCGCAGGTCTCGAGCCTCGATCCCCGCCTCCTCTGACGTCCGACATCGCGGAACCAACTGCGACATCGTGAACAATCACGACCAGGGCCTTGGACCCCATCATTGGACCAGAAAACAAGCGAGACCACCCCACCTACGGCCCTACTGGGCTTCGCGTATGCCAGGAACTCTGGCGTGCGCTTTTGCATGGTACACGCAGCGGCGCCCGATGGGCCGTACGGCACCATGGAGGGCCGTAGGTCGGGTGGTGTCGTTTGTTGTTTGGTCGAATCCTTCTGCGACGTCTCTTGAGAGCCGTATCGGCCCGCGAAGGTCCCGCCCTGAAAAACACGGCGACACACTGCCCTGTGTGGCAAGACTGCGACGCCGGATGACAGCGCCCGCAGAAGGGTGGTGCAAGGGGGGCGGCCGCCTCAGAAGGCGGAGGAGCTTCTTAAGATTAGGAAGCAATTGCTGGGAGGTCTTCGTCGGAAAGATGTAAAAATATCAAGCCCCGATGGGGGGCTGCTAGGCCAAATTCGGCCGCGGATTAGGCGGGATTAAGCCGGACTAAACGGGATTAAGCCAGATTCAGGGGTATTGAGCCAGATTTAAACGGATTTTTCGGACCAGGGCAAAAGTCAGAATTTGACCTCCCAGGAGTTGCATTTGAATTGAGAGGCACGGGGCTTCTTAGAAGGCCCCGGGGCCTCCTAAGGAGGCTTCTCAGAAGCACCGCCGCCCTCTTAGAAAAGCACCTCCCTCGCCCCACCCCCTCGTGAACGCCGCCAATCCGTGGGCACCCAAAGGATCTGGGATAGACTCAGTCCGGGTAGGGCCCTGTCTGGCATCCCCAGGTGTGGCACGGGAAGGCCCTGGAGCCCCCGAGTCAGGAGTTCTCCCAGACCACCCTTTGCGCTGATAGCTCGGGGGCGCTGGGCCCCTGCCGAGGCCCAACTTTTCCTCGTCCTCGTCCCAATCGGCGTCGGCGGCTGCCACGGTCCACTGGCCCCACTGCTTGACGGTTGCGAAAATTATCAATTGATGCTCCCATCCGCGAAACCTTCCATGTCGGTACCTCAGTGACCTCGAACGAGAATCCTGCGATGCTCACCTCCACTAAATCCTGCCCTGCTCACCAACCCGAAGAGAGACCATAATCGAATCGATAAGTCGGATTGGCGATCGAAATGAATCGGATCGGCGGAAATCGGCAGCCGAATCGAGAGAAGCCGGATCGGCGGAGGTCGGCAAGCTGTAAGGCCTCCGTCGAGAGACCGAAACCCACAACGGAATCCGTAACCGCGCCGAACTGGAATCGATCGAATTCGGATCGAGTCGGGCTGGAAGAAACGAATTGAGCCCACCAACCAAGCGCGGCCTAACCGATCCCTTCCGTGACGAGCACGTTCCAACGTCCCCCTATCACCCTCCTCGCCTTCCCCCGACAACATACACGTACGTCTTGGGGTGATGGGACGCGCAAAGACATGCTAGTACTATATGTTCTCCTTGGAGGCGCGCGTCCGACCCGAACATGTAGTATACCCATCTCATAGTATCGTTTCCCGAGCGGAATAGCCAGAAAGCGCCCGCCACGACGCCTATTCTACAAGACTTCTCGTTTCCCGCGTCGCCCCTGGGAGGGCGACGCACACATAGAATTAGTATGTTGGGGTGACGGCGAACGTACGTCTTGGGGTGAGGCGAGGGAGACGTCGCGCCAGGGGATGGCTTGCTCGGTGTCGGTGAGAGGCCGCCCCTGAACCAACCCCTCCAGCTACACGCAAGAGCGACCCACAGCCAACAGAGACCCTTGGTGCGCGGCCCAAGCGGGGGCCCTTTGGGACACCACCGGGCGTACAAGCCGCTACTATCGCATCGTATTCAGCGATCGGGGGGCCCCCGTGGGCCCGCACCAACGGTCACTCCGGCGAAGGGTCACCTTTACGTGTAGCCGAACCCTGCCGAGGCCCGCCTCCACCACGTCCACCAACACACAGTCGAACCCCCGGCCGCTGCGGTTGAGCACAGCCTCCACGGCCCCGCACCGCGGCCAGGCCAGGCACGCGTCCAAGCAGCCTCGAGCCCGCCACGGCGCCCCCTCCTCGAACCAGCGCCTCCTCCTCCTCCTCCTCCTCCTCCTCCTCCTCCTCCTCCTCCTCCTCCTCCTCCTCATGGTTCTCCTGGTTCTCCTCCTTTTTGATGTTCGGCAGGCTAAAGCATCATGGCTGGAGCGTTCGGATGATGCAAAAAACGACGTGGCGCAGTGAAGGACAAATTCAAGCGGATTCGGCGGCAGGCCCGTGCGGTGCAAGATGGACAGTGTTGTACAGGAACAGAATGCACAGAAGGGCAAATAATAACGGCACCTGCCGCCGCGGGTCTGAACCACAGGGAAACACTAGGCAGCTGTAAACCTGATGCCTTGTGCCAGGCTAAATGCTATCAAAGAAGGGCAACATATACTGCGAAGCTGACTGTTTGCAGCTGGGTGCAGGTAGAGGAAAAATCAAGCAACGGACGCTGTTACAGTTGGCAGTGGCTGTGTGCAACTTGCGAGGCAGCTGCATTGTGAGGTGTGGGGGGGTGCATCTATTACTCGGCGGTCCACAATAGGGCGGACGCCCCCCGCCGAAGGCAAAAAAAAGTGCGATGGATGGAAGAAATACTTCCCTCCCCCCCTAGTGCCCATCCCACCCCACTCTGTAGAGTCAGAATCAGTATCGTCAGTGCGGGCGACGGCTGACGAGTAGTAGAGGAGGAAAAGCTGCTGGGTTGTAGCTGCCATGGTTGGGAGGCTGGCAAGATCGGTGCTGATTGGCCTTTCGTGTAGGCAGAAAAATGTGCAGCGGCTAGACAGGACATTTGAGGCTTGCTGAGGCTGGCACATAACTATGGCTGGCCTGCGATGCCACCTGTAGTGTCTGGCTGGCCTGCGGTAGGCAGTGGGGACGGGTGGAGTGACGCAGTGCACCGCGTCTGGCGGTTTCCTTGGCGGCGGGGCCACGCCCTGTAGTCGAGGGGGGCCCGATAACTGCTGCGCGCCGCCATCCCTCCCCAGTGGGCCCCGCCACCTGCATGCAATAACACCTCCTTCTCCCCATCAAATATGTAGCGATGGCCTAACAGTAATGCAGGTGAATAGAACTGCCGAGACGGTACGGGAAGTGCAGCGAATGTCATGATCAGCATGCTGCTGCGCGCTCTTGGTAACTAAAGAAACAGCGCGAAACAAAACGATCAAACGAGTAAGTGAACGGCTGAGGCTGGATGCTTCAACTTTCTGGGGTTGACACATATAGTATGGCTGGCCTCTAATTGCCTGCTGGCCTGCCGTTGGCAATTTGAAGCGGACAGCTCCTCTTTTACCGTAACCTTGCTGCAACGAACCCACCGCCCCCAAGGCGGAAGAAGAGGTGGCCTAAGTAGTGCAGTTGCGTTGAACTGGCGAGTCGGTGCGGGAACAGCAACGAGCGCCGTGCATAGCATGCTGCAGTAAGCTGAACATCTGGCGACTTCAAGGCCTGTTGGGCCGCGCCCTGGAGTCCAGGGGGGCCTGAACGACTGCTGCGCGCCTCCCCCCATGCCATGCGCATCGTCCCGAGATGAGAATGCTGTCGGTAGCGTAAGGACTAGCAGCAACTGAAAAACTGTGTTTTTCAACTAGTGCTGGCTTGCCAAATGCGAGTGTTAAAGTAAGTGGGCAGGATCTAGACGTGCAAAGTTGTGCGTTCAGCGCCTGCGGCGATTCCTGGGTTGCCATCCAAAGTTTTGCGGGTTCACCCCCGACCCCCTCAGCGATGCGGCAACCGCCTTGTTGCAATATTTTCTCGGCTGAGCACGAACCCTTTCGTCCATTCACGGGTGAGAACAAAGAGAATATGAATCGCATGAGAGGGGAGGGGGGGCACGAACAGAAGATGGAAGAGGCAACCAGAAGAAAGGCGCGGAGAACAAACGCATGGAAGTAGAGACGAGGAGGGAGGCTGACCAATATTCTATATATCCAAATTGAAATTGGCACACAGCATTACCCGTTGCGGTCGATATGAGGTCGTCGACTGGCCCCGGTCTGGTCTTCCTTCATGGTGCATCGGAAACCTGGGCTTCGGCATCGGTGGTGCCTTGTACTCGGGCGTTGGAAATTAGGGTTTCGCACATGGGTGGAGCTTTGAGCGTTGTGGGGGTGTCATTACGCTGCTGATCACCTTGAAGTCGTGGGTTGCGTCTGTCTGCCTCTTCTATAATTATATTCCTGGTGCTGCCGCTGGCGGCCGCGAGTTGTATCCAGTTCGTGTAGTAGCTGCTGGTCGTTGGCGTCGCCCACAACTTGCGTATCAGTCCACCCATTGTATGCTGATGCTGGTATAGAGCCAGTTAATCAATCTAGCATGGCAGGTGAAGCCCCTGGGCGGAAGTAGGCCTGGATAGCTGCGCGTATCTGCGAAACAATATCCACGAGCCACCTTTGCGCCGTTGCCGCTTCAGGCGGGCGTATCACTGGGATCCTGAGGTGCGGCAGTGGTGGGCGCGTTGGGCTGCCGGTAACCCTATTGCGGGTAGTGGCCTGCGGCGCTGGAGTCCACGTGCTGGCTAATTGCTGGTTGGCCGTAGGTGAGGCTACCGGTTGGGTCACTTGTGCGTCGTGGAGTGGAGGTGATGGCGCGGCGTCGGAGTGGTCGCTGCTGCCGATGGTACGTCGGCGCAGCAGAAAGGAATGTCGCATTGTCCGCAGATGCCTTGTAGCACATCTGCCGCCTCATGTAGATTGCTTGCTTAATCACCTGCATGACAAGAACGGGGCCTTGCGAGACCGTCACGATAGCTTGGGTAACACGGGCGTCTAATACCGTTGTGGGCCTGTTGATCTTGTCGAGGATGTACTGGTCAAAGAATATAACTGCTAATGTGATATCCTCGTCCTGTTTGTAAACCAGCGCCATGTCGTCGACGAAGTCTCCAACTGTAGCCTTGGCTCTTCCGCCTGTCTGGGAAATGGTGCTGTAAGTGCGCGTCAGCGTGGATGGCGCCCTCGAGTGCAAAGCACGTGGGTGGCCTGGTGGGTGGGAGCTGGAGGAAAGACAGTGGCGTCGCATTCATGTCTGGCATGCGTGGCGGGTGCGGTAGCACGTGCGGGTGATTGCTGAGGGAGAGCTCGCGATTAGATTTATCGAGGTATACCCATGCCATGTGCCGATTAAGACGTGGTCCCTGGGCACTATGCACATTAAACATTGCCATGCTTTGTGTAGGAAACTGCGTAGTGCCAACTATTCAGGTCCGTGTGCTCGTCCTTGGATCGGTTTGCATTCCAACCTGTAGGACCATGCATGTCGTGTTATGTGTCGGCGGAGGGGGGTAACGATTCCAACGCGAAAAACTTGACAACGCATGTGTTATCGTCGCTGTCGTTCTCGTGGCCGCAATCTTAGTTGTCATCGCATGGTATGGGAATTTGCTGTGCAATCTTGGTCGCACTTGGCGGTGGTTTGGCCTCGTATTGCCTCCCGAGGTTGGATGGTCCTGGTGGTGTTGATGTTACTGTTGCTGAGACTTGCGGTGCAGCTGTGGACGTAGGAGGCATTCGCATCATGGGCTTGAGTGGTGGAGTCGATTGGAAAGGTGCAAGTGGGGCTCGTGGTGGGTCATTACGGCCCTGCCGTGGCCTTGGCCTGCAAAGTTCAACGCATGGCACAACATGGAGCGGCGGGGTTGGTCAAATGTGTCCAGCGCATTCTTTCCGGAACATGTCCTGGTGCCCGTGTTCTGCTTGTTCTGCCTGTCGCCGTCTCCCCAGCTCTTTCTGCGCCCAATTGTGGTGCGCGTGGTCGTTGTCGATGTTCGTGAAGGCGCTGCAGATCTTGGCAGGAGACTCGTGGTTGAAGGCTGCGCCCATTGGGTCTGGTATAAACAGTGTGGGTTTGAGCTGTGACGTGTGACCAGATGGAGTCACTGGAACAATGTGGCGCCGTGGCGCATTTTCTTGACTAATACTGGTGGTAGCTCTCCCACTGTGGAGGGCCACATCTGGTCAGCAGGTATATGTGCAAGGAGCTCCTTGTGAGTCGGCGGCATTGTGGGTTGGCGCGGCGATGGTGGTTCTCGTGCTTTACCCGTCCGCTGGTTGAGCATCTCGCCAATGTGCGCGGCGCTTCTCTGAAATCTACGCAACTTGCTTGGTCGTGCGAAGATGGTGGCGTCATGTGCCTGCGCCTCCTGTCCATGGCCAACGTGGCTCATGGTGGGTGTAGAGTTGCGGTCCTGATGTGTGTAGTACGCCCGCAAGTAGTTTGCAGAATGCTAGTAGCTCCTCACCTGTCAATATGTCCATTGGTTGTGGAGCAAAGATACGTGTTGGTCTCGGTGCGATGGCAGGTGGAGTGCATGCTGCTGTTCTTGTGAAGGTGAGCACGTATCGTTTGGCATGCTGTTTGTGACAAATCCTGTAGAGGGTTTCTTGCAGGTTTTGTTCAGTGCCCCAGTGAGGTAGTGTGGCTGTCGTAGTAGTACCAGGCCGTTATCGGTGTCTCCGGTGAGCCCAGTCCAGGTCAGCGCTATGAAACGTTGGTATCGTAGTTCGTGGTCTTCTTTCGGCACAGCCTAAAGCGCCACAGGCACTGGCAGATGAATACGGCAAAGCTGGATCTAACGCTGGATCTAAAGTCTCCTGCGCTTGGGACGCGAATCAGACTCAATCAGCCGTCTGGCACATGATGCACATTCCTCCAATGCAATAGCCTCCGCAAGGAACGACGACACAGGGCAATCCATGTAGAGCCCGCCCACGGCGAGAACAACTGTCGTGAAAACGCAGTCCTTCACCACGCGCGCCTCCACGGTATATGCCGCAGCAGAGCACCTACCGATCCTCGCGCCTCCGTCGGAATGGCAGATGATGTTGCAACGGTCGGCCACGATATCCTGGAGCTGGCGTGTCCAAAATGCCTCTAAATCCATGGTGGCGTTGACAAGGAAATCCGCTACCTCATTGTACCCGCGGGGCCTCCAAGTCACTGGGTCTTCCCAGCGGCGCGGCGGCGCCCAACCAAGGAAGAATGCGGCTTCCATGTTCTCCGTGA